AGAAATCCTGTCATTTGCAACAACATGGATGGAAATGGACATTTTGACACTATGTGAAATAAGCCAGACACAGACAAGTATCACATGATCTCACTCATATGTGTATTCTAAAAAAGCTGATTTCATAGAAGATGACATTTAAGTGCAGATTACCAAACGCTGCTGAAAGATGTGGTGTAGGGGGAAAGGTTGATCAATGGGCAGTAAGTTAAAATTACATATAATCAGAAGCTCTGAAGTACTACTGCAAAATGGTAACTATAGGTATGTATTATACATACTAAAAATCTAGAAGACTTTTGAAAGGTTCCACTGCAAAGATATAAAAAAGGCTTACAGGGAAAAAATATTTCAATATTTAACTTGGCTTAAATATCACACAGTGTATATATTGTATGGGACAGTACATTATCCCATTCTTATGTATTATGGTTTTGTACTCCAGCTAAGATTTTTAAAAGCAAATACAAACAAAAAATATATATAATTTTTGAAAGAAATGAAAAACAAATTTAAAAAAAAGTCCTAAAAACGCTTAAGTTTCTTCCCATGGCGTAGTGAAACCAAGGGAATGAGTCATTCTAACCAAGTTTTTCACATGTACACAGTTCTAAAAAGTTTAACTCTCTTACTTCTGTTTGACTTCAATACTCTGGTCTTACATGGAACTAAAAAATACTTATTTTGGTAATCAAAACTAAACATAGGCTCTTTCTGTGTCTTTTCATCTCTGCTAAATAATTCTTTTGGGAAGGGGAGTACTGGAGATTGAACCCAGGGGCACTTAACCATTGAGCCACATACCCAGCTCTTTTTTAAAATATATTTTATTCAGAGACAGGGTCTTACTGAGTTGCTTAGGCCCTTGCTAAATTGCTGAGGCTGGTTTTGAAATCATGATCCTCCTCTCTCAGCCTCACAAACTGCTGGGATAACAGGCGAGCACGACCATGCCTGGCTCTGCTAATTGTAACACATGTCCAAACAAATAGATGTCCTGTATACACTAAGGAAAGATGAAATGTGAAATAAAGCATATAAACCAGGAAAGTTACAAAACCTAACATCCTAGTCTTTGCTTACTTCTGCTTTTCTTTCTTTTTAAAAATATTTTTAGTTGTAGTCGGACACAACACATTTTATCTATCAATCCATCTATCTATTTATGTGGTGCTGAGGAATGAGCCCAGTGCCTCACACAGGTTAGGTAAGTGCTCTATGATCTAGCTACAACCCCAGCCCTTACTTCTGCTTTTTAACTCTTTCATGGTCCCAATAAAATGTCTTTTAGTCACCAAAGCATGGTCAAATCTGGTCATCTGATTTTGCATGGCTCTTGAGCTGTAATGGTCTTCACAGATGGTATATTTGATAGGTAAACTTAAAACTTTAGCTAAACTTAGAATTTTAACAGTTAAGAAAATTTACCCCTGAAAAGAACTTTGTTCTTCTCATTAGTAGACCTGTATCCAAAAAAAATTATACTCAATTATTATCATCACTACATTTTGAATTTTGTCACAAAATTGTGTAGAAATATAAAAATGGGGAAAAAGGACATTTCTTAAAGTTGTTTGAGACACTGAGAAAAGTATTTAAAATTAAAAAAAAACAATGTACAAGAAATGATTTTTTGGCAGATGGGAATGGGAAAGACAGTGGGATGAATCAGACTTAACTCTCCCAAGGTTCACATGAATACACGACCAGTGTAACTCCACATCATACACAACCACAAGAATGGGAAGTTATACTCCGTGTATGTATAGTATGAAAAATACATTCTACTATCATGTATACCTAAAAAACAAAATTAAAAAAAATCTGTGTTTGAAGAAAATCTACATCAAAAAGTGAATACAAAATCTATGTAAAAAGTCCTTTGTCTCCCCAAAACCAAATATGTATGTACATACATATATGTATGTGTGTGTGTATGTATATATATGTATGTATGTATAAAGGGGTAAAAACTTGTCACGTGACTATTAGGAAAACCCCAACAATGAAATCTAATTTTTCCATTGGTCCATTAAAAACAATTATTTAAAAACTACAAGGAGCCAGGTGTGGTGGCACATACCTGTAATCCCAGCAGCTCACAAGGCTGAGGCAGGAGAATCAAGAGTTCAAAGCCAGCCTTAGCAACTCCCAAGGTGCTAAGTAACTCAGTGAGACCATGTCTCTAAATAAAATACAAAATAGGGCTGGGTTGTGGCTCTGTGGTAAAGCACTTACCTGGCATGTGTGAGGCACTGGGTTTGATTCTCAGCATCACACATAAATAAATAAATAAAGGTCCATCAAAAAGCAAAAAAAATAATTACATAAAAATTAAGTCCTCTGACATTAGAAATATACTTCAATTTGCCTATGAGTCCAACGTGATTCAAAATAAAAGGAGAAAAATCCCATTACCTGGTTTGAATTTAAATTCATCCACCACTGCCTAACAAAACAAAGTATGTCACCACAACTATATACTTTCATGAGTAAAAATTAGACACACACAGGGTGGAGATACATTAAGAACGAGTCACTGGAGCCCTTTCCTTTCACCTGCACCACACTGGGGATGGCCAGGGCCTTCTGTGGTCTTCCCAATTTGCCTGGGGTTTCCAAAGATGGGCATTTTTTGCAGCAGCCTGGGAGTTAAGGACCGTGTGTGAGAGTCTAGCCTGGGTTAGGAGGGCTGTCAGGGCTTGGACTAGGAAAGCACATGCTCGTGAAACAGGAGACAACCTCCTGGCCTAGGTTCCTGCCCTCAAGCCATATGTTCACCAATGGAAAATGAACCCCAGCCATGTGATGTTCTCAGGTGTCTGAAGAGATCACTGTCTAAAAAGTACCTAAGGTACTTAACTCCCTGAGAAACATTTACTCAGGTCACTCAGAACTGCCTACTCTTCTTCAGCTGGGCTTAGCAGCTCCAATTACCATCTCCTTCAAGACAGAAAATGCTCTGCCTCATCACACTGCAATTAACCCACTTTGTTCACATCCAATCCTCGTGTGGAAGGATGCACAGCTCAGCTAGAGGCATAGTGCCACAGAAGGCTCTCCACTTGCACCAGTGCAGGAGCTGAAGAGAAGAAATTGCAGGAGTGTCAGTTTCTCTCAGGGCTCCAGGACCTCATTCTTCAAGAGGAACAACATGGCCATACAGGTTTCCCATGGCAGTGGGCACTGTGCCAGTGGGGTCTGTGTCAAAACTGAGGATTCTGCAGCTTCCTCTTACCACAATGGTACAAGAGTGTAGAGATGGCAGCTATGATCGTGCTGGATTCTGGCCTTCCAGGATCACACCAAAGGCAGTCCCACAGATGCCAGGATAATGAGGATGAATACACCTTCACTATGTCAGCAGTGCCCTGTGTTGGGATAGTAAGGATCTCCCAGTGGATGATCTGGATGTTCTGGCCACTCCGTTCTCAACCTGCCAGATCCCTAAGACATTCACACTAGAAAAGAACCACAACAGCATGGTACTGGTCACTCCCCAGAACTCAGCCATGGCTCCTCCATGCTAGTCCCACAATGCAAGCCAGGCAGAAACACCTCAGTGGAGCCAACCTAATGGAGCCACCCTAAGCAGAGATCTGTAGTCAGTGGAAATGGCAGACTGGTTTCTTACTGCAACCATCTCCATTTGCAGCATCTTTCCTGCAGTCGACAGCAGGAACTTTATCCAAGTCAGTGTGGGCCCAAGCTAAAGCTAAAATAATAAGTAGTAGTACAGGAGCCTCACATTTTGCTGACCCTCATCACCTGGGCCAAGGGAGATTTCAACCTTGTGGTAACTGACACTCAGGATGCAGACCTCTTCTACCCAGTCCTCAGCAGGTCCTTGTAGAAGTCCACCCTCCTAAGGGGGACAGACTCTGGGTACAGAGTCTTTAGGCTCAATTATGGTTCAAATCAGAATGCTTTACTCACTAACAAATCAAACCAAGGATTTTTAAAAGAATTTACATCAGGCCAAAATGGAGCCAAGTCTAAGTGGGCAGACTACTAAAACAAAATCAGAAATTCAGGATATATTCTAAACCTGAATCTCTTTGGTTGAAGTCTCAATGTCTACTTGAAGTATCTAAATTCCTGTGTCACTCATTTTCCACTGAGAGCATTCCAATTCTGTGTATCACCACTTCTGCCTGATGAAAGAGAACAATATCAATTCCTTTATGTTTGCATCCTGCCTCACAAAAGCTTTTTCTTATCCATTCTGTTGTTTAAGAGTTTGGTGAAACAAAACCTCACCTCTATTTCATGTGAGGCCCAAGGAAGTTAATAGAATTATTGGGTCCTGCAGTCATCAGAGGCAGAGATGACTCAGACTGGAGTCCCAGGGCTGGTTCTTTTATCCCTCCAAAAGCAAGCACTCCCCTGAGGCTTTGGAACTGAGGGTGGCAGAAATATTTATAAAATATGTCCATGCCCTTCACAGCTTGCATTCATTTGGGAAAATAAACACTACATGTAAAAGACAAGATGCTTCCCTCTCCCAAAAAAGCCACTGATGAGCACAATCAATTCATGACTAGTACATTTCCTTCAGGTGGTGCATTTTCTGAAGCATTCTACTCAAAATTATTTTGCATCAAGGTCTTCACAGTAATCACACCTTTAGAATTCCAGTCCAGAGGCCTTTTTAGAGGACAGTGAAACTTTTTCTGTTAAATGACAACTTTCTTGTATTTTTCACATTCACAGCCTTTTTGCTCAGTGCAAATACTTACACATGGGTCAACTGAAGGCTTTTGCACATCTCTTCTATGTTCATTTATATGTATATACTGAACAAAATGACTGCAGGCATCCCCACATACTTAACATTAATACAAGTTCTCTCCACTGTTCACATTTGACATAAAGTTCAAGAAAGAAGTCTTACCACAGTCTTTGGTCAGCGCTACTTTCCCTTGAGTTCTTTCATCTATGAGAACATAGTTGGACTGAACGAAAGCTTTCCCACACTGCTTGTATACGTGGGATTTTTCTCCAGTATGTGTTTTTTCATGTATTTTAATATAACTAGAAGAACTAAAGGCTTTTCCACATTGCTTACATACATAGGGTTTCTCTCCAGTGTGAGTTCTTTGATGTCTGAGAACGTGACTGGATCGACTGAATGCTTTTCCACATTCCTTGCATATATAGGGTTTCTCTCCAGTATGAGTTCTTTCACGTCTTTTAATGTAACGGGAAGAACTAAAGGCTTTTCTATACTCCTTGCGTATAGAAGGTTTCTCTCTAGTGTGAGTTCTTTCATGATTTTGAAGGGAAAAGGAAGAACTAAAGGCTTTCCCACATTGCATGCAAACATAGGGCTTCTCTCCAGTGTGAGTTCTTTCATGTTTTCGAAAGGAACTAGAGTAACTAAAAGCTTTCCCACACTGTTTACAGACATAGGGTTTTAGCCCACTGTGAATTTTTGCATGGTCCCGAAAGGAACCAGAATAACCAAAGGATTTTCCACATTGCTGACATACATAGGGTTTTTCTCCAGTGTGAGTTCTTTCGTGTAATTTAAGGGAACTGAAACAACTGAATGCTTTTCCACATTGTTCACAGGCATATGGTTTTTCTCCAGTGTGAATTCTTTCATGTAATTTAAGGGAACTGAAACAAGTGAATGCTTTTCCACATTGTTCACATATATAAGGTTTCTCTCCAGTATGAGTTCTTTTATGCCTGTGACAGGAACTAGAGTCACTGAAAGCTTTTCCACATTGCTTACAAACATAGGGTTTCTCTCCAGTGTGAGTTCTTTGATGTCTGATGATATGACTGGTTTGACTGAATGCTTTTCCACATTCTTTACATATATAGGATTTTTCTCCATTGTGTATGCCTTCACATATTTTAATGTAACAGAAAGAACTAAAGGTTCTTCCAAACTCCTTGCATACAGAGGGCTTCTCTCTAGTATGAGTTTTTTCATGATATTTAAGGGAAAAAGAATAACTAAAGGCTCTACCACAATGCATACATACATATGGTTTCTCTCCATTGTGAGTTCTTCCATGGGTTCGAAAGGAACTCAAATAACTAAAGGCTTTCCCACACTGCTTACATACATAGGGCTTCTGTCCAGTATGAATTGTTTCATGTAATTTAAGGGAACTGAGACAACTGAGTGATTTTCCACATTGTTCACATACATAGGGCTTCTCTCCAGTGTGACTTCTTTCATGTACTTTAAGGGTACTGAAACAACTGAATGCTTTTCCACATGGTTCACATACATAGGGTTTCTCTCCAGTGTGAGTTCTTTTATGTCTATAAAAGGAACTAGAGTCACTGAAGGCTTTCCCACAATCTATACATACATAGGGTTTTTCTCCAGTGTGAGTTCTTCCATGTTTTCTGAGGGAACAGGGAAAATGAAAGGCTTTCCCACACTGCTCACATACATAAGGTTTCTGTCCATTGTGAGTTTGTTCATGTCTTCGCAGGTGACTCAAAGAAAAAAAGGCTTTTTCACATTGCTTACATCCATGGGGTTTCTTTCCATTGTGATTTTGCTCATGTCTTCCCAAACTACTGAAACAACTAAAGGTTTTCCCACACTGCTGACATCCATAGGGTTTTCTGCCACTGTGAACCCTTTCATGGTATCGAAGAGTACTGTGATTATTGAAGGCTATACCACACGGTGAACATATATATGGTTTCTCTCCAGTGTCAATCCTTTCATGTATTGGAAGGGAACCAGGACAAGTTAAGATTGTCCCACCCTGCGTATGTTCATGTTGTTCCACTCCCGTTTGAGTCTTTCCATGCTCCTGCAAGCACTGGTAATAAACAACAGACTTCTCATATTGCTGATATTCATATGGTTTATGTCCAGTTTGAGATCTGAAAAGCACATCTGGTGATGAATTGTCAATGAGGACTTCTCCACACACAAAGCTTTCACCTGGTTTTGCGCCAGGAAGAGTTGTATTGTTCTCAATATAATGTGGAGTTTGGCTGAAGATGTCTCCATGTTCACTACCTTCACAGAGTGTCCCTAATACTTGACTTCTGGAAAAAAATGAGAAGTATATCATTAAGCTTTTGTTTCTTTATGGCTTATAAGGAAAAGTATTGGTTTTATGTCCTATAATTTTTGAACATGAAATGATACAATGCAGAGCTGGGTTTGTGGCTCAGAGGCAGAGTACTGGTCTAGCACTCGCGAGGCCCTGGGTTTGATCCTCAGCACCAAATAAAAATAAATAAATAAAGATGTTGTGTCCAACTAAAAACTATATATATATATATATATATGTTTTTTTTTTTTTTAAAATGATACCATGCACTATGGTATGGGTCAATCACAAATATCATCAAAGTAGGGTTAGTGGGGTTTTGCTTGGTTTTTTTTTTTTTTTTTTTTTTGTACTAGGGATTGAACCCAGGAACTCTTTACCAGAGCTACACCCCCAGCCCTTTTTAATTTTTTATTTTGAGACAGGGTCTTACTAAGTTGCTTAGGGCCTCACTAAAATTCTGAGACTTAACGTTGAAACTGTGTTCCTATTGATACAGCCTCCCTAGTTGTTGGGATGATAGGTGTGTGCCACCCTACCAGGCAAAATAGTGATGTTATAATACAAAAATCTTAATACTGTTCCTAAATAAACTATTTGGCCAATACTGAATATAATATTACAATTAAATATGGTTCATTACTCCTTATGTGAAATGATGGGGATCAAAAGCAACTGGATTTTGAAACATTTGCAAATAAAGAAATATCCAGGGAGTTAGCTCAAACACAAAATTTACTTTAATATCATAAACGCCTTGTGCCTAAACTCAAAGGAAATTTAATACAACATTTTTGATACTTTTGTGCATGGAACAAAGTCTCTCTAGGTGGATCCATCAGAAAAGTATCACATATGACAATATGAGTGCCTAATATGTTTCTAATGCTGGAACATTTTGAATTTCTGATTTTCTGATTAACAATACTAACCTGAATAAAAGTCAAGGAAAATTTCCTCAAATCAAATCAATTTAAAGCTGTGTTTATTTGCATTGTTTGTTTTTTAAAATTACTTGTCATTACAACATTCTTGAGCAACATTGCTTTCTCCTAAATATAGATTACCTTAGATTTTTCCCAGGATTTTTGTATGCATCCTCATTGGTCTGGCTGTCTCTTTCTTTTCCTAAAATGTAAACCCAGTAAATCAGTATGAATTAGTAAACACTATAGAAACCTTATTACATTCTATTTGGTTCATCGTGTATTGCGACCACACCTAGTCTAACAACTAAATATTTCTTTTACATATTCCATATCATGTAGTAGTCCTCATAAGGAAGAAACATTTCATTTCTGATAAAATAATTAAGAGAATGATGTCATCCTTACCTAGAGAGGCCAGACACCTGAAGGTTTCCTGCATCACATCTTGGTAGAGCTTCTTCTGGGAGGGATCCAGCAAAGCCCACTCATCCACGGTGAAGTTCACTGCCACATCCTCAAAGGTCACCAACTCCTAAATTATCCCACATATATTTCCAAGAGGAAGGGTAAGACTCAGTACCAGAGATGGGAAATCATTTCATTAAAATTTGACATGATGTTGTATTCCTCAACATTCACTTCATATCATCACTCTCTAATTCCCTATCCACACTCATCTCCTCTCACACAACAATTCTGATACTAGTCTGGAACTTAACAGCAGGATAGGAACACACACTGTGCTCCTGGGTCACACCAATATCTTATTATGCAGTGGGTTTGTAATACCTCTCAGAACAAAATCTTGAGTGCATCCAAGACAGTAAGCACCACCTGTCCAGATACTGCATATACTGCATATCTTTTTTTAAAAAATATATATTTTTTGTTGTCAATGAACCTTTATTTATTTTTTTTTTAGTTGGAAACAATACCTTTTTTTATTTATTTTTATGTGGTGCTGAGGATCGATTCCAGGGCCTTGCACATGCTAGGCGAGCACTCTACCGTTGAGCCACAACCTCAGCCCTGAACCTTTATTTTTTTTTTCTTTCATTTATATGCAGTGCTGAGAATCACATGCTAGGCAAGCGCTCTACCACTAAGCCACAACCCCAGCCCACTGCATATTCTTATATATGCCTGAGAGAAATTTGAGAGTATATGCCAATAATGTGTTCTCATTCATAATCTGTTGTACCTCTGAATGTTTTCAATATTCAGAATGGTCATCAGCCCTCCAAGTACATTCTGGATGAAGAATCTCTAAGGAATTGGTTTGACAGATACAATTTACACCACTTGTCAAAACTTGCTTGTTAGTACAATACCAGAGGATGTGTTCTAGTCCCTAAGAGACAACTTTTGGAAGCTTGTACATTGTTTCTTACAAAACAACCTTAAACACTAAATAAGCCTCATAGGGGCTGGGGATGTGGCTCAAGCGGTAGCATGCTCGCCTGGCATGTGGGGGGTGCTGGGTTCCATCCTCAGCACCACATTAAAAATAAATAAATAAATAAATAAAGAGATGTTGTATCCACCGAAAACTAAAAAAATAAATATTAAAAAAATTCTCTCTTAAAAAACTAAATAAGCCTCATGAAGAATAATTCACTATGCTAATGGAAAACACTTTTTATTGGACAATGTCCAAGAACAACTGAAATACAAGAAATGATAGCACATGAATATAGAGTTCAATGTCTTCAAGATATCTCACATACATTAATAAAATTCTTAATTCCCAAAGCTCACTTTTTATACATTAACTAGTCAGCAAAAACCACTTTCCTCAATTTAGTAGGTATAATCAATGCCCAACAATCATTGGAACTAGAAATTAATTTATAATTAATTCAAAATCATTGGAATTAGAAATTAATAGCTTACCTAAAATACATAAAAGATTTTCCTACTACACTATTCAGGATACTACATTTATCACAGATTAACAGATTACAGAATATTAATTTATGATAGCTCAGGCTGAATACAAGAGTGGCAGAAATCACAATCTCAATACATGAGACAGGGAGAAACTGGTGTCTACTTGAATTTTATACAGTATTACTGTCTATGTCATGGATGATAATCAAATTATAAAACAAAATGGGAAAGTTAAAACTTGAATTCTTTGAGAAGTCAGTAACAAATATATTTTGGATGAAATAATAATTACATAAAAAGAGATAAGCCAGCAAGGCATGGTGGTGCACACCTGTAACCCCAGTGACTCAGGAGGCTGAGGCAGGAGAATAACAAGGTCAAGACCAGCCTTAGCAACTTAGCAAGGTCCTAAGCAACTTAGCAAGCCCTTGAATCAAAATAAAAAGGGCTAGGGATGTGGCTCAGTGGTAAAGTGCCCCTGTTTTCAATCCCTGGTACAAAAAAAAAAAAAAAAAAAAAGATGGAATTGTAGCTCAGCAATCGAGTTCAATCTTAGCACCACATAAAAACAAATAAAGGCATCGAGTCAATTTACAACTAAAAAGAAAAAAAAATTAAAAAGAGAAGAGATAAGCCACTAAAAATGGATTGGGAATTTTAGTATATGAATATTAAGGGAAGTAAAAGGCAAGGAAGGAACACATGAACAAAGAAGGATCAAAATCATGAAACTTAGGAAGAAGAAACCACATATTAAAACAAAAAGCAGATTTGGTTGAGGAAGTAGCTTGACATAGTGGCCACTGGAACTGATGAGGAAATAATTTGCACCCCCCCTCCTGAAACTAGCATGTGAGAAACATTGAGGCAAGTGAAGGACACATAATACCTTTTTCTGTGATTCCTTTAATAATCACTTATGGAAAGTTTCAAGGAGACAATGCTAAAATAACTGCTGAGTGAAAAATCACACTTGCTAAAAGATAGGAAAAATAGCCAAAGGATCAGGATAGTAGATACCTTTGGGGCAAGACAGAAAAGGATCAGTCAGAGGACCACATGGAGACAATCCAAGTTATAAATCTTCTTTCCCCCTTTTTCCTCAAGTTATTAATCATAAGGAGGATTCCCAGTTTATATTGCATTATTAAATCTTACCAAATTTTTTATTCTTTTTCTTCTTCTTCTTCTTTTGTACTGGGGATTGAACCCAGGGGTTCTTTACTACTGAGCTCTATCTCTAGCTCTTTTTATTTTGAGACTAGGTTTCCTGAAGTTGCTTAGTCTGGCCTTGACCTTATGATCCTTTTCCCTTACCCTGTCCAGTATGCCTGGCTATTCACTGTTTTTAAATGTACTTCACGATGATTTATTTAAATAAAAAATTAAATTTGGGCCAGGTATTGTGGCACACACCTGTAATCTCTAGTGATTCGAAAGACTGAGACAAGAGGATCATAAGTTCAAAGCCACCCTCAGCAACTTAGTGAGACCCTGTCTTAAAAAAAAAAAAAGCAAAAAAAAAAAAAAAAAGCTGGGGATGGAACTCAGTGGTAAAGCACCCTTGGTTAAATCCTAGAACCCTCCCCCCTACACACAAAAATTAAATTTAGGAAAGACATATTTATTTATATGTTTTTCTTCCTTGCAACATGGCAACATGAGTCAAGATTTATACACTGGGCAGCAACAGAGAAGCACAGGTCTAACGCAACAAAATCCCTTCAAAGCCAGGAAACAGAGGTCCAGTATATGTTGGCCATCAGGTAGGAGACCAGGTTAGCAAATCAAAGCAAGAAAAGACAGTCACAGAAAGTGGTTATAGCTTTGATCAGTTTTAGAGGTGTGGTTCTGATGTTGACACTGATGAGGAGTAAGAATACAAAACCAAAGGACAGCCAAAGTCTCACTATTCATATAATTGAGGGCATAGGGAGAGTAGGATAAGCATCTCAAACAAGTAGCAAGTGCCTTAAGAGAGGGAAGAAATGAATCCGGCCTGGGAGTTTTATACGTTATTAACACAGAAGTTTTCATGAGAATTCACTCCAGTTACAAGGACATAGGTATGGGTGGTTTCGGGCTCCTGGCAATGCAAAGTAGAGCAGTGCCAGGCTTTTGATCACCTTATCTTGATGTGGGGCACAAAGGGAAGAAGGAGTGTTAAAGGTTAAATAGTGAATTTGAATTGAATATCTAAAAAAGGAGTCACATAGAAAGACACGCTGGCACATACCTATGATACCAGCAGCTTGGGAGGCTGTGGCAGGAGGATCAGAAGTTCCAGGATAGCCCTCGGAACTTAGTGAGATACCCGTCTTAAAATAAAAATAATGAGCTGGGCATGGTGGTGCAAGTCCGTAATCCCAGTGGCTAGGGAGGCTGAGGCAGGAGAATCACAAGTTCAAAGCTAGCCCCAACAACTTAGCAAGGCCCTAAGCAACTCAGTGAGACCCTGTCTCTAAATACAAAAAAGGGCTGGGGATGTGCCTCAGTGGTTAAGTGCCCCCGAGTTCAATTCTCAGTACCAAAAAAAAAAAAAAAAAAATTGTTATTTTCAGGGAAATGGATGAAACCTGAGAACATTATGTTAAGTGAAACAGGTCAAACTCAAAAGGTGTGATAGCTAGAGAGGAAAAAAGAAAAGATCAGTGGGATCTCATGAAAAGTGAAGGGAGATCAGTAGAATACAGAAAAGAGACTAGGAGAAGAAGGAAGGGAGAAAAAGGGGCCGTACTGGGGAATGATAGTGACCCAATTATATGGTCATATTGTAGGCACGTACGAAACAAATCCCACCACTATGTATGACGACAAAGCACCATTAAAAAATTTGGAGCCAGGTGCAGAAGCACACACCTGTAATCCCAGTGACTTGGGAGGCTGGGGCAGAAGGATCATAAGTTGGACACCAGCCTTAATAACTTAGCAAGGGCCTAAGCAATTTAGTGAGATCTTGTCTCAAAATAAAAAAATAAAAAGAGCTGGAATGTGGCTCAGTAGTAAAATACACATGGGTTCAATTCCCAGAACCAAAACAAAATACCCCCCAAAAGCTGGTTCTTTGGAAAAATCATCAAAATTTATAAGGCTTAATTAGCCTTAGTTAGACACACAAATTACTAACCTTGGTAACAAAAGTGGTACATTCCACCAATTCCTTGGATATTAAGTGAACCACTAACAAATATTCTAAACAATTATATGTCCATAAACATAATAAAATGAATCAACTCCTGGATAGAAATAATCTACACAACTCACAGAAGTGATAAACAATATACATGGGCTGGGGATGTGGCTCAAGCGGTAGCGCGCTCGCCTGGCATGCGTGCAGCCCGGGTTCGATCCTCAGCACCACATACCAACAAAGATGTTGTGTCTGCCGAGAACTAAAAAATAAATATTAAAAACTCTCTCTCTCTCCCTCTCCCTCCTCTCTCACTCTCTCTTAAAAAAAAAAAACAAAACAACAACAACAAAAAAAAACAATATACATAAGAGCCTATACAGCCAGGCACAGTGGCACACACCAGTAATCCCAGTGATAAGGAGTCTGAGGCATCAGGATCTCAACTTCAAGGCCAGCCTTAGTGATTTAGCAAGACAATGTCTCAAAATAAAAATAAATAAATAAAAAAAGCTCAGTTGTAGAATGTCCTGGGTTGCATTCCCAGTATAGCAAATTATAGAGTATATTACAGAAACTGAAAGAGTATAAAACATAATCATACAAAAAAGACCAGGTCCACATGTTCTCACTGGTTTATTCCACCTAACATGTAATCAAAATATGACACCAATCATCTACAAACTTTTCCAGGAAATAGAAGAGGTACTACTTCATGCTCTGAGGCCCATACTGCCACAATATCAAAATTAGAGACATTACAATAAACAAAAACCACAGGAAAATATTTCTTTTTTTTAATATTTATTGTTTAGTTTTCGGCGGACACAACATTTTTATTTGTATGTGGTGCCTGAGGATCGAACCCAGCGCTGCGCGCATGCCAGGTGAGTGCGCTACCGCTTGAGCCACATCCCCAGCCCAAACCACAGGAAAATATTTCTAACAAACATAGAAAAGAGTAAATCCCATTAAGGCATAAACAGAAATATGTACCACAACCAACTGTGAATTCTAAGTATGGAAACCTAATAGAAGATTTATAAATAAATTCATGTAATCCATCACATTTACAAGCTAAATAGCAAAACTCCTAAAATCACATTGACACTTAGAAAACACCAGGCAAGAAAAGAAAGCTCTGAGATTGAAAATAAAACTGTCTTTGTTCATTGGTGAAATTGTCTATGTAGGAAAAAAAACCAAAAAAATCAAAATCAAGCACCTCTGGAATTAATAAGGGATTGTAGCAAGTTTCCATGATAGTTGCTAAATATACAAATATACATTTTATTTCATATCAACTATATAACTGGATCAGAAATTTTTTTAAAAAATCACAAAACTGTTTATACAGCACAAAGAAAGAAAAGAGGTGGGTAGAAGACCACCTAGAAAAAAATCTCAAAAAGATACAATCCCACAGTGATGCTCTTTAATACCAAAATATAAATAAATTAGAGCATTGCAAATGTTAGCAAACCTTTCAATAAACACAAAAAACATGGAAGGTCAGAAGATCATAAATTTATACAGACACAATTTCCTATTCAATTTCAATTTGTCCATAATTTACAAAAAAGGTTTCCCACTCTGTTAAAAAAAAAAAAGATATATTAGCATTAGAGGACAAAATAAACATTGTTGAAAACATCAAAAAATAAACCTGAAAGGGCTGGGGTTGTGGCTCAGCGGTAGAGAGCTTGCCTAGCATGTGAGGCCCTGGGTTCGATCCTCAGTACCTCATTAAAAAAATAATAATAATAAAATAAAGGTATTGTGTCCAACTACAACTAAAAAATAAATATTAATAAATAAATAAATAAATAAAATAAACCTGAAATAACCAAGTTCCAGAAGCAGTGAGAACCAAGGGAACTATCATCACACCAGCAATAGATGAATGAAAAGATACAACAACAAAAGAGAAATCTCATAGTGCTGGGCATGGTGTCACAAGCCTGCAATTCCAGTAGCTTGGGAGGCTGAGACAGGAGGATGTCCCAAAGCCAGTCTCTAAACAAAATAAAAAAATAGGGATGGGGTGTGACCCAGTGGTCAAGTGTCCCTGAGTTAAATCCCTGGTAATCCTCTCCCCGTAAAAAAAAAAATCTCATAATGATAAATAGATGGTAACCAATAAGGAAGGTTCAAAAAATACATCCTCTAGTCACCTAAGGATGCCAAGCTACATGAGATCAGGGAAATACTTTGGAAGTGATTACGGTCTATTTATTCCCCTGCACAGTGATTCCATGTACCTTTATAAACTTAATTCCTATAAACAAGTAATTCATGTCAATAATTCTCTCTCACATCTCATTAAATCCATCCATTCAGGTCAAGAAAGTTGGCATCTTACATTCAATAAAATTCTTAAATGTGTAAATCAACTGCCCCCCCCCCTTTTTAGTACTGGGGACTGAATCCACTGGTACACTACCACTCAGCTTCATTCTCAATCCTTTCTAGATTTTACTTTTGAGACTGGCCTGAAACCATGCGTGATTCTCTGGCTTCAACACCCTGAGTTGCAGGGATTGCAGGTATACACTAACATACCACTGCTATTTTGTAAAAACAGGATTCTACACAGGAAACAAAAGGGAAGCAGCTCAGGGCAGCAGTCTGCTTCACCCACAGTTCATAAGGGGATCTAAACTCAGAAGGCAAACACATTCTTAAGCCTACAGAATTCTTCACTGCGCAGATGAAGCCCAGGCATCCACTGTCAGAGAGTGAGTGAGGGAAACATGAACATTCAGGAAATTGAATCCTGGAACCTCCATATACCCTGCTTTTCACTTTTCCAAGTCATGGAAAGGCTCTCTCACACACAGGTTCAATTCTAGTGAGCATTCACTCAGTCATTTGAAGGTTCTGATCTGTGCTCTTTTCTAACATCATTTCTGACACTAAATCTGTGTTTACTGAATGCTAACCAATTCAATACCAACTGGGCATCAAACAATTAAATTCTGATACCACCAAGACTTAATACGGTCCCTGCAAATTCAGGGCAGTGCAGATGTGAACACAAAGCAAGTGTTTGCTTGTGTGGTCAATAGTCCCCATTTTGAAGCTAGAAGGGTGGTACCGAGTAACTCCTGAGCACAAATTCAGGTACTATCTAAAAGAGGATGAAGATAAGCAACCAGAGATACTCCTATTGTTTAGGAAATTCCAGGGTTTTAGGTTTTCTGTGCCACAATCAGGGACAAAGACCTGTTTTTAAAAATTCTTCTATACATCAAAATGAAATATGAAATTCTCCAGTAGGCAGAATCCAAAGTTTTCTTTCTCTGACTGGTCCTCACTGACACAAATTACACTCTGGCAAGAACAACTATGTAGATGCAAAAACAGCTGAAGAGATTGAATTTCATGTCACTGCTGAAATCCCGGAAATCAGTCGTGATTAAAGAAATCCCCTGTATAATGCTTTGTACCCTGGGGAAGCAGCCTAGTGCAAACAACACTATACTCCTTCCACTTACCTGATGTCCCTTTACCTTACCTATAACAAAGCCAGACACAGTTTCCAAATTCTCACTTTTTGCCTCAAAAATTGCCAGCTCAAGTGATTAATAGAAACAAAACCGTTAGGCAAACTTTCCTTGGTGGTTTCTCCTTCCTTCTTGATTCACCCTCAACCTGAGCCAGCACAAAATCTCTTTATTGTCACCCTAAGAACAGGAGAAACGTTGTGGCTTCTAGGAGCTTACGTTGCCATCTCCATCTTCCCCTCCAACTTAGTTTCTACTCCCATCTTCTTCTCCCAAGGAAAAAAGTCCCTTTTCTACTTATCCACTGAGATGCTCGGAATCTTACAGTTGGGGCTTCGCCCTACTGCAAAGCTCCTTTCAAATGAAGTCAGGTCCTCCTTTAATCAGTGTTTCCTTTTTAAAAACAACGTCTGG